ACGACTACACGTATAAGTGCGTATCGTAACAGCGACATTAATGATAAGGATATGTAGCATGTGTACGGCACTGTGCCTATATGCAAACGTTTTTTTCACATATAAGAGCGATGTACACATATACCTAGCTGTTAGAATTCGTATTCGAGGCTCAATCTTACAATTAGTTAGACAAAGCCGTAAGAGTAACGCTGCGATGTGCAATCAGTGCAATGAGCATCGGACTTTCGAGTATCTTATCTCCGAAATCTTTTTTGCAACAGAATTAGATATTTTCGCCACGATCGCGTCCCATGTCGCTGATATTACGCTGCTATTACACAATTTCATGAAAGATCGCTCACTTCGACAACGCGTCTAGATGTTATCTCGACGGTAAACGCTATTCGAGAAACGACATCTTTAAACGGACGTTTAAATAAAAATATAAGAGAGCAAATTTCGCGACACGTGGACTAAAGTTAATTAATCTCGCAGCGTATGCCATCACGACGTAACATCTTCGATTAATTTAAGTCCGGCTTAGATCCTTATTTTAGTTACGACTTAAGTCCTGTAGACACCTTTGGGCCCTACCGCGATCTCGATCGTCGCTACGTTGAATTCTAATGGAATTGTTGATCCGATTCGCACGAGTGTTCGTACCACCATCCTGTAATTATATATAGTCAACCGCGCGCGGTATGTATTAAGAGAACTGTAAAGAATTATCTCTAATTTTTATATGAGGTATATAGACACAAAAAATATATATATATATACACACAGATATATATATGTGAATATAGATAATATATATACATACAAATATAAATATAAATCGTACCACGATTGTGATTTGACCGAGGTTACCGTGTTATACGTACTTTAACTATTAGCCACGGAAACGGCGCCGTGTGCCGAGGAAGCTGTAAAGCGCTCGTTACCTTTAGAACAAGTAGTATTTAAGGACACACAAATTATACACGTACACAACACACACAAGTTTTCAAGCTCAGTTCAATCCCACAGATTCTCCTTATGTCTATAGTCAAATTGAAAAGCATGGAAAAGGCGCGAAGCGCTTCAATCAGATGAGCGATCGTAGTATTGTTTTATTGTTGCAAAGAAGACATGTTTTCTTTTAACAAACTGTATGTTGCGTGAAAGATGAACGACGCCTTCACATTTCAATGGTTCGTTCTTGTAGCTAAAAGTTGTTTTTTATGTAAAAAAGAAAATTTGTTCTGAACTTAAAGTTTTTTCAAACAGCTTTAATTATAAACATTTCGATTATTCTCATTTTAATCAATGTTCTTAAGAACATAATGATCTTATATATATATTAAAAAGAAATTATTTATATTATAATATATATTTATTTAATAATTATATATAAATCAAGATCTCCATCGAAAAGCAAATTATGTCCTTAATTCGCACTCTTGCTTGAATTGCTAATTGAAATTGCTTTCCGGAATGACCATTGAAGTGTTCAAATCCTTTCCAATGGTGTTGGCTCATCGAACGGGATGATCAAGTAAAGATGACGTCCGTGAACAATCCTATAATTGTTCGTCACTCCTATTTTCCATATGACATAGTTACGTAGTCACGCCTTTGTGTGTGCAGCACGATGATGACTGTATATATGTCAATATGTAATATTTGATGCAAAAAATATATATATAATGATTCAATATATATATATAAGGAAGACTTCTTTGTGTTTAGATTTACTCCACCAAATCCTTTCTGCGAAGCTTTCGACAGAAAAACAAGGTAACTTTATTATTAAAAGAACAACTAATGTATACGAAAATGATTTGTTGTAATTGTTCTTACGCAATGTACAACTATACATTGTATATTAATAAATTGCATAAATAATTTATTTTCTATATTTTTATACTATGTATACTATGTGTATACTTTTTATATACATATATATATATATATATATATATATATACATGTTTATCTATTCTAAAAATTGACAATGTGCATCGATCCTTCTATCATAAATCTTCAATTTTCTTCAACGATATTTACTCTTGGAATTTTTTTTAACTGCTATATCATTAATGTACACGGTCGTTTCGCAAAACAACATTGTAAACTAGAGGCCAGGCTTCGGCGTAAACTGGTGCGACGCTTTCTCTCGCGTTTAAATGCTTTTTAAAATCATCTCTTTCTTCTTTTTTATAGCTTCTTTTACAGCTATACGTCGAGGAGGTTAATAGCGAGTTCAACCGAAAATGATCCCGTTTTCAGAAAATTATGTTCTCTTTTCCCCACATTGAAAAGAAGAACCGCAAATTAATGTGAGAAACGACAACTTGACCAGGGTCATAGGTGTGTGAGAACCGGAACACTTGCACTGCCGGTGGACGAGTTGACGACGTGACTTGACGATGAATTTTGAAAATTATGAGACATCTTTGACAATCCTAAACTACATCCATTTATTCATGTGCTACAGTATTTACAACTTAAATTAAAATCAGAGTCCGCGATATATTATAAGAGGAATATTTAGAGAAATCTGGAGAATATCTGGAGTTAATCGCGGCATTAATAGCCTTCATCAAGTACAAAAAATCATGATTTCTTCTATAAAATCACGTACAGTCCCGGTTATAATAAGAGGAAGTAAAATACAAGCGCACATTTGAACAACTGACCAAGTAAATAATATTCCTGAAAAAATTTATTACAATTTTTCACAACTTATATAATTTTTCACAACTTTCACATACATTTTATAACTTTTTAGATTTTTTATACGAATTGGAACATTTTTCGAAAATGCTGAAAAAGTTTATATCTTTTCTAGAATTTTTTATATACATATATATAAATTCTGAAATATTTTAAAATTTTTTATTCTATATTTTTTTAAAAAATTTACAAAATTTAAAGAAAATTAAGATTTTTTCCAGAATTTTTCATAAATTTAAAATATAATAAAATATAAATAATTCTTAATAATATTATGAGCATTTTTACCGGAGAACATGTAAATAATATTAGACATATACGTACAAAATTTATTTCTAATTAAAAATAAGATTTAATTAGAGTTTTGCACATTGCAAGATGCATGGTGTGTAGTGTTTCAATTACCTTCGTCGACGGGAAAAAAAATTGTTCGTTTCGGAGACAACGCGAGTCCATAAATAAAGTCTCACTCATCTCGACCAAACTTGGCCTGGAGGTGATCAGATCCGAAGGCACGGACGGAATAGTGCGCTTCGGACTAAGTGCTTTCTCAGCCTCACCGAGGACGTGACTTTGACCCAGATATCGGTAAATTGTGCCAAGTAGCCCGCGGATGCAACTCGTATCGTCTGGATCGAAATCACGCCGAAATGATATGACAGAGATAGATCTCCTACCGCGCGTCATGATTTAACGAACATTCTTCCTTTCCAATCAATTCGCCAACCGACCTTGAGAGTTCAGATTTCGGCAGGTAATTTATCCAGAATTGTTATGGACAATGCACGTTTGTGATATTCATATACAAATGTTTTAAGATAATTGCGATTATATAATATGGCAAAGTAATGCGGTGCAAATGACTATAACACGCTGCTATATTTGTCTTTTAATGTAGTTTTATATATTGGTACATCAGTATTTAAAAAAATTTAACAGAAAAATTACATTTGAATATAATTTTATGATAGCAGAAATAATATTGTATAAAATATTTCTGTTAAAAACGTGTATACATATTGACCCAAGTCTTTATTATGCAATGCAGATTCTCGAAAAAAATCATCAAAAATGCAGAAATAATATCTTAAAAAATAAATGTTGCCGAGAAAACTTTGTAAATTATTATGTGTTAACCTTCGGCAAACGTATTTGCCTACTGTAGCTGATCAGGGTTGAAAGAAACCGCGATCCTTGAGACGTTACTTTTAATTAGGAATGTTGTACTGTAACGACGTATTTCAATTAAATTGGACGTTTAAAATAAAGACGGTGAATGCGTCAAATATGTAGATAAATTTAACGTAGAACTCATGCATAATCGTTGAGTTTAACAAGTTGAATATTTTTGAAAATCTGTTGTATTTATCCGTCTTTCTTTTGTACATATAAATGTATGACGTATGAAATATTCTCGGCGAAAGCATCATGCTTTAAACTTTAAAATATATAATTCCTGCTGTCGAGATAATATTTTTGCAAATCTAAAAATAAAATTTGTATGAATATATATAAGTCAAAAATATTTGAATAATACTAGGAGGAATATATCATAGAATAACTATTTCACGGAAAACAAAAAGGAGTTTGTAAATGACGTTTATCGTTAATGTTCCAAGATTATAGAACGACATAAAACTGAAGCATTTTCGATTCAGCCTTGACAACGATGACAATAAAGATGACTCGTCGGCGGGGCCTTAACTAGCAATGAATCACTAACAATACGTATCTTCTTCGGAATTGCGACAGCGGAGGATTACCTATTTAAGACAATACCAAATAGGTCGAAGGAACGTGTCCCCGTGATCCACGTGCATTTATTTAAGGCACTTCAAAACTAGTTATCCAACTTGGCGTTGATACGACGTTACTTTGAAGGGTAATGTCGATAGGAAGTCGTATAGCAAAACGATGCTCACGTACATGTATATACGATAATTATGGCATCGACGCACTCTTATTCTCGAAACGACCATTCATGTTCAGATTATTAACCGTGATCAAGCACAGTCATCTCATCCATTAGATTGCAAAACGAGATCCATTTACCAAGATGAAAAGACCGCACAAAGCAAAAAAATATGTTTTTGTGCTCTTTTTTAAATATATGGATTATCTGTTGTAAAATACTGAATACAATTTTATAAAAATACCGATTGCAATAAAGAGAAGGAAAGCAAGATCAAAATGAATAATAAACGAAATTAAGTTGCAAATTTAAAAGAATGAGAAAGTTTACAGGAAATTATAATTATAATAATTGAAGGATATGGAGAAAAAGTAATACAGATGATAAATAGTATCTATTATGTTTTATTACATAATTCAAGTCTTGTCATAGAACAAAGATATACGTCCTATTTAATTTCGTCAGTATAAAAGTAAAAAATATTAATTTTCCATTGAAATGACAATGAGAATTGCCGTGAAGTTGGTATAGCAGTAAAAACATACACTAGTTACTGATAGACTGATTACTCAGAAGGCATTGCCTTTTCTTTTCTTCGTTGCTAATAACATCGTGAATATCATTTCCAAGGAACTGGTTCTAAGATCCATTGTTGATCGAGATTCTTAGTACAAGCCGCTATTGTAGGCGTGTCATCGTCCGTTGTTGCCTGAAGACACATCTCGGAAGGCACGTGCAAAAATACTTTCGTCTAGAAATAATTATTGGTACTGTAAAAGTCGTTAAAAGAAGCATTATCGTAGCTGATACTTCATCAGAGAGATACGGTACTTGTTCATTATATTGCCATTTCTGCCTTTCACGACCGCTACATGCCATTATTTTCACTTTTGGCGTCTTTTGCTGCATATCTCGTTCCGGTGCGTCCAAACATACACTTTCATCAGTCATTATCACTCCGTTTTTGGTCATCACGAACATCTGACTGAGCATCGGCCGCGGTATGCATGAGTGTAGAACTGCGTTTCCTGAAGGTTGTGCATAAGAACCTTTCGCAGTCGGTCGCATAATGCATTTCTTTGTTGCAGCATGCACTATCTGACATGAATAAAATTATAACCGACTAATCTCATTTTAATTGAATGCTATTAAAAATATTATTACATTATACAATAAAATCAACAATACCCTGCCGAAGAATCGATCATCCGTAGGAAAGAAATGCTCCGGCCACACATTCTCCAAGTACCACTCGAAACTTTTACACTGCAGTTTCTCGCGTAAAGCTAGTCTCGAACGAATTTGCTGCTTATATCTTAATCTAGCCGCCTCTAATAAAATTCAAGGTATAAGAATCTATTCATCCATGAAATTAAAGATCTAACTGAATGGAAAAATAAATTCATAATGATGATAAAATGTATCATCCTTAATAATAATCTCACCAGGATTGAACTTGAAATAGAACTCCGCCCATTGATCCATCCATACCAAAGCGACTCTGGCGAGATTGCCATACAAGATATCTCCGACTCCGCCCGGAAAAGTGTAAGGAGAAGACTTCCGAAAGAGATGCCCGACATGGGAACATGGGGCAATCTCGATACTGCCTCCGCATTGCCAAGCTCGGAACGACAGTTCCAAATTCTCGCCACCCCAGATTCGCATCTGATCATCGTAACTGCCCAATTTAAAGAAGTAATCTTTGTTTATTGAAAACAGCCCACCTGCCATTGCGGGCGTTCGGAACGGTTCAACAATGTTATCGCGTCTTTCCTTCAATAGACGACCGTTCAAAGTTAGCCAGCGAAAGTGTAAGTCCCAGTTGAATGCACCCCAGTGAAGCTCAAACGATCTACAAAATTACTAATTCTTAGAATACTAACTAGAGAGTGAATAACAAAAGCAAAGTCTTAATCGTAAAAACTCTCTATCAAGATGTACTATCACAATGGTAAATATAAGAATGAATAATTACCTTGTATAACTGAAGGTATTATCGTTTATTATATCAATTACTGGAGCGACTATTCTTGTTGCATTTTTACTAACCACTTCAAGTAATGGCTCCAACCATCCTGCAAATATTATATCCAATAATAACATTGTGTATAACATCAAAAAGACTGTTTCAGAGGTTATTGTAAAATAATGGAGCTTACCTACCAACCGTACATTCGCAGTGAGCATCGAGAAAAGTGAGAACTTCACCTTTAGCATCGTCCGCACCCAAAATTCTCGCTTTTATCAATCCTATCCGTTCGTTAGATCGCAAAACTCTGGTGGGGACGTTCAAGTTTTTGACGTAATCATCCAAAGGATTTTTCAGGAATTCTAGCAATAAATGACAAGATTGTAGAAAGAAGATAAATTTGTTACAAATATGATAAAATTGAAATTATCTTGTAATTAATTTTATATTCACTTACCTCTTTCACTATTATCATCAACAAGAATAATCTCTTCTAACAGTTCTCTCGGAGATCTATTGATGACGCTATGTACTGTCCGTAATAGCGTACTCCAAGCTTCATTGTGAAATACTATAATGATTGATGTTTTTGGCAAATTACCTAAGTTTGCGTACCGTGAAATACACCTGTAAAATATTTTTAATAGAATTGTTTAAGACATTTTAAGACAATTAAATGGTATTAAATCTTTATCTGACAAAAAAATTAGACGATAAGCACTCTTACTTTTTCTTCCTAACATCGGGTAGAGATCGATTTAGTGGTATTTTATCGCTAGCCATTAAATTAAATCGGTTAATTTGGTATAATTGCTGCATCTTGTAAAAATCTTTTGGATGTATTACTACAGGTTCTCCATTTTTGCCTTCAAACGGCAGGGGGTTGAATAAATTTTGATTAATAACATCTAAAAGAAAAAGTTGTTTCTATTCAGATTTTAACATTTCAACAGATTTGAATATAATTATATTTATTACCTTTCGTGATGTTTGGCATTTTCAAGGAATCTACTGAGTCTCCTATGTAATGACCAACTACTACATGAATTCCTCGATGATCAATGTAATCTTTCTGGTTTCCATGTGATCTATAACAGTCAGAAGCATTCTAAATTAAATCAGTACTTAAATCAATTTAAATAAAAATTAATTATGTTAATTCATACCCCAAGTTATTTTGCAGATTGATGCTTTTCTCCCTGCTCCTAGACCAAATCAGAAACGTGCCTATGAATACAACGATCAAGAAAACGATCGTCGAAAGACGTCGTGATCGTCTTAATCTAGGCCACATTCTGCTGCTCCGTTAATCCATAATATCAATCTTGGTCATATCCTCGACGCGTACCGGCAGAGGATCAGTTCAAGCACTGATCAGTTTCGGGACGTTCCACTTCATTTTATTTTACCAAGCTGCCTGAAATTATCACTCAGATCCGGCCTCTGTTATCTCGAGTTCTTCGTGATCGGTATAGGTCGGGTCATTGCGACAAAAAAAGAAGATTCCAAGAATTTCTGAACTGGACTCTGGAAGAAAGATGGTTTGTTATTGTTTTGCTTTTCAGAACTAACAACATTTTCATTAATTCAGTTATATTTTTCATATCGATAAAATTTATATCAATTAAATTTACATAGCAAATTGAAGTTTGCATTGCATTAGTAGATATTATATATATATATATATATTTAAAATAACAAAAAATTAGCGTGCAGTTTACTGAGTGAGTTTGGAAAAAATATACAAAATTCACATAATATTATTATTAGACTACCAAAAAAGATCCAGCCCGGACTTTAAATAGCGATTTCTCTAATTGGTTGTATATTACACCGTGTCCTGTTTCACTTATTATTGAATATATATTTATTTTATTATACTAATAAAAATAATAAGTTTTTTATATTAATATAATTATGTTACAATAAAACAGTCAAGTTGCAAAGAACATCTATTATCTGAACATTTATTAGATAAATTTAGTATAGAAGGAAAAACAAAGCAAAAAGCTAATGTTATAACATTGAGAATAGATAATATAATGCGATATACATTTATACAATAATTGCTTTTGAGTCAAATCAATTCTGCAGCGTGTAAACAAATGCAAAAGCAAATAATTTGAAAATTTATACAACAAACAAAAGAAAAATTGCAGAATATACCACAATAATTGCTAACGATATCAATATCATACAGAACATCATTAAGTACAACTGTCTTGAACCCTTTAGTCAATTAAGTTGTAACTCACTTTTAAGTGAAAGTAGATGTTGAGACGATCTTGAGACAATCAACAATTTATCGCAACGCAGTGTGGAAACCGGTGATGCAATGTCAGTGCATCATGCAATACCATAAACGTAGAGCTTCGGAACGAGAGAAAGAACGCCCGTACCGAGTGCAATTTACGCTGAAAAACGATAGACAAGCGGACTTAAACGGATGCTCTATTAGCCAACAACGTCATGAAAAGCGAATAACTAACAATACTAATATTACCTTGCTAATATTACCTCGCAGTGTCCCGAAGAATGCTCTAGCTCCCGTCAGTAGTGTCAGTAGCGGAGGCGAGTGCTCCGACGCCCGACGTTCGACGCCGAGGGATGTCGCCATTCGCCATTCGCCGCTCGCAGCAGCCGACGCGCGGAAACACGGGCACGCGGACGTAATGCGCCGACGGTGCCGACGGAGGGCGGCACCGCCGACGGGCTCGCGTGCAGCACGCCACGTTGGAAGCTTGACGGGTCGTCGCATCTCGCCGGAGTTCACCGGACCTCCCCGTCTGTCGTTTTGCCCGAGGAACTTCCCTGTTTACGCTCGCCCGAATTACGAGCCAAGGTGAGAACGCCGTTCGTTCGATCTCGACGAACGTCCCGACGATCGTGTATCGCGCGAACGACGACGGACGCAAGTCCCTGATGCGATCACCGTAACGTCGGCCGCATTTTTTGACACTGCATTTACGTGCAATTAATAATTGCTGTCGCTCGGCTCTTCCTGCTTCAGTGCCACTGTGTCACTCACGAATGAACTTCTCCTTTACAACTTGTTAAGACGTCCCACAAAATGTATGGAACATTAAGAGCTTCATCAAGTTTCTTTCTGACATTTGTATACAGATGAAAGTCAAGGAACTGCTGAAGACAGTGAACGTAGCATGGTCCCCGTCAGCTCAGCATCCCATCATGCTGGCTGCTGGGACAGCGGCGCAGCAGTTGGACGCCAGTTTCAGCACTTCTGCCAGTTTGGATTTGTACTCGCTGAATCTACAGCAGCCAGGATACGAGATGGAGCTTCAGGCCAGTGTGCCTAGCGATCATAGGTCAGTGACTTGCGTAAAATTAAATTTAATATCTCAGGTTGACTAATCAAGTGACATTTGTCAATCTAGATTTCACAAAATCATCTGGGAATCCTATGGGAATAATCCAGCAGGCATAATTGTCGGTGGTTGTGAGGATGGGACCATAAAGATCTATTCTGCTACAAAGTTATTGGCCAGGGAGAGTAATTGCCTGATAAACAGTCCTCACAGACATGCCGGTCCTGTCAGGGCATTGGATTTTAATCCCTTTCGAGAAGAAAATCAGCTGGCTACAGGCGCGACGGAAAGCGAGATCTTTATTTGGGATATTAATACAAACACGCCAACAACCCTTTCTCGAAGCCAGCAGTCAGAAGACGTTCAGCATATTGCATGGAACAAACAAGGTCTTTATATCAAATTATGCTCAAGGAAATTGCACGCCGAAACTAATTATTTATACAAATCTGATCTATTGATAATCAATATAATTCTTATTTTATTTTACAGCACATTTAAAAGACATTCTTGCTTCCACATTTTCCCAGTGCTGCGTTATATGGAATGTGAAAGAAAAGAAGCCGATATTTAAACTGACAGATGCAAATACAAGGGTACAACTTTTTCCATTTTGATATTGCGATAGAATACGCGGTAAAATACTTCTCTGTTTAGAAAAGATCTCAATTGGTATGTTTGAATTATATGTAGGTACGCTGGAAAATTGCCCAATGGCACCCAGATATTGGAACGCAATTGTGTTTAGCATCTGAAGATGATCAAACACCTATCATTGAATTATGGGATGTAAGAGTTCCAACATCGCCTTTAAAAACTCTACAAGGTCATCAGCGTGGCGTTCTTTCAATCGCATGGAATCCACAGGATGCTGACTTACTCTTGAGTTGTGCTAAAGATAACAGAATCTTGTGTTGGAATCCCAACTCAAATGCATTGGTACATAATGTTTCCTACTACGCATTTCAACAAATTAGTGAAATTTTAAGTATTATTTTTTAATGACAGAATGGTGAGGTGATTTGTGAGTTAGCCCAAACAGCTCAATGGAACTTTGATGTGTCTTGGTGTCCAAGAAATCCAGGATTAATTGTTGGCAGTAGTTTTGATGGTCATGCTGTTGTCTATTCTTTATTAGGTGGACAACAGCAAGAGACAGCCAACAAAATAGCGGATTCATTCCCAGGAGTGGATCCTTTCACCCAATCTACAGTACAAACAGGAACGACGGCAGTATTAACGAAAGCTCCTAAGTGGTTGAAAAGGCCATTTGGAGCATCATTTGGAGTAAGTTTTTAATTTTGCTTTATATTATATTATATTTGTTAAACAGAAAATACTCTTTTGTAATAAAATACAAATTATTTTATAAAAATAATACCGTTTTCAGTTTGGTGGTAAATTAGTGATTTTCGAAAATCAGCCTGCTGATCCGAATATAGCAAACAAGAAAGCGAGTAGAAAGGTTATTATATCACAAGTAATTATACAACCCAGTCTTATTCAACGTTCCAACAAACTAAAAGCAACGCTGGAGACTAAGCAATTCAGTGACTTTTGTACGGAAAAGATGGATAAGTCTCCAGATGAACATACCAAGAAAATCTGGAGATGTGTACGTGCTTACTTTGATGAAAATGTGACAAAGAGTATATTGGAGTTGTTGGGTTACAATACCGAGACAATGAATAATAAGCTGAATCAGTTTGTGCCTCAGGATGATATAAATAATATTGTAGAGGGTGTCTCTAATCTTAATAATGTAAGGTTTTGACTGATTTACATCGCGCTTTTGCTTATGTCGTCTACCTTTGCTATAATATATTTTGGCTGTTAAACTATTTTAGTTTTAATTGTGTTTTTTATTTGACAGGTATTAAATGGTAATGTTATGGTCAGTAGTACTGCCTTTGATCCTATTGCACAACAGCAAAGTAAACAAGTACCGGCAAATAAGCCTGCAGATAGTACTTACATCATAAATACTTCTGATGGTAATTAACACATATATTGATGACATCAATACTGTGACAAAACAAATTTATAAACGATTTACGTTTGTATTGTTTTTTGTTTATTTTTTAGATGAAGATGGTCTTATCACTCAAGCCATTCTCTTAGGAAATATTGAGGCCGCTGTATCTTTGTGTTTTGCTAGCAAAAGGTACGCCGACGCTATAATTCTTTCGATGGCTGCTGGTCCTGATCTACTAGCACGTACCCAATACAAATACTTTTTGGAGCACTCTAGTGCATTAAATTCTCTCATCAATTCATTAGTTAGTGAAAATTGGGCTGAAGTTATTAAGAACAGTGATATAAAGTGTTGGAAGGAAGCACTAGTTGGTATATTTACACATTCCACTACTCAAGAAGAGCGATCTGCCTTGTGCGGTAAGAATACAATAAACTGTTACAACAATAATTTGTTATTATCATTTACTGTCTTCATGTTTACAATATGAATTGTGTATAACAGATATGCTTGGTGATCGCTTGGTACTATGTGAAAATCCCGTTCTTAAAAAGCAAGCACAAATTTGTTACATTTGCTCTGGCAATTTGAATAAATTAATTGAAGTGTCTGATGCTGATATTCAAGAAGTGGTAGAACTGATCGTAATAATGCAAAAAGCTTTGGAACTCCATCAAGGTATCAGAGAAGTTCCGATAGAGGATAAAATTGCCACTGTGCTGTCTCAGTACGCTGAGATGCTGGCGGCAGAAGGGGATCTAGAAGCTGCCTTGAATTATCTTGGGAACAGTCAAGAGCAAAGAATTTCGATGCTGCGAGATCGTTTGTGCAAAGCTTTAAGTTACATGCAAGAACAGAGGCATGTTACAAAACCTGCAGCTCAGAATTACTATTATGAACAGCCACGAAGAGTGTCGCAAGGTCTGCTGCAGCAGCCATTACAGCAAACAGCACCTTCAGTCCAGAATTGGAACACGACTCCACTAAAGCAAACTTATGGAGCTCCTACAAATCAGTTAACTCAGCCGTCTCAGCCATCTCAGCCGTATGGAATGCCCCCTCCTCCCCTTCCTCAAGCGCAATCTACAATTTACGATCAATATTCTACATCACACCCGTACAATCAAATCCCAGCTCAGCCTCTTCCTCCGCCTCCACCGACATCCAGTTCTAACTTGAGTGGCTCAAGACCATCCAGCGTTGGACCGCAATCGAGAACGAAATATTTGATAGATCCTTCTGTGCAATCCACTCCGTCATATGGTCAGAGCAATTTTCCATCGTCAAATCCATCGTACAATTCTCAGCAAGTCCCACCTGTTCCTGGTTACCCTCAGCAAAATTCGTATCAACCTCAGGTTCCTGTGCCGGGTAACGTCTATCCCAATCAACCGCCAAGTTTTATGAATACTCCTAAAGAACCGGAACCGTACAAGCCGCTTCAGCCGAACATAATGTCGCCGTTGCAAAATGTGCCACAGACCCAAATGTACGATCCTATTAGATCGCAGCCTACTTCACAAACGCAAACATACGGGAGTGAAAATGCGTATCAAATGCCGCCGCAATCGTCTGGATGGAACGATCCGCCCATTGCGAAAAGTTCCAGACCACAGGTAAATTATAATCTTGAGTTTACAACGTTTAGTTCCTATTAATAGCCCCTATTCGTGTTATTTCCTTGTCTTTCGATCGAATAAATCTCTTACGTTTAGATACTGATATATGTATATATTCGTTATAAAATCATATAGCCAGTACTAGCACTATACAACGAAATGTCTGCGGAACATTCTGGTACTAAGAAGTGGAAGGCAAAACATTCAAAGGGTGTAGACGTTAAGGTAGTCGGTTTCATATGTCGAGAATGCTATATCTACAATGTTTCGTGTAATTGTATAATATATTATCATTAGTGTTTACCTCTGCATTCCCATACTTAATAGAATTAATCTAACTGATTATGATGTAATCTTTTATTTGTGTGATATGAACTAATAAGCGTGTTATACGAAAGAAAAGATCAAACTGCTTTACATTTTGAAACTTGTATCACGCAGATTATTATTATTTATTTATATCTTACACGACATAAATTTTATAAACGTAAAGAACTTTTCATACATTTGATTGATGTTATCACTTTAAATATCAAAGTGAATTTGTGGAGCTTTATTGTCTGGAAGCTTTTATTTATTTCCATAGTGCCATAAATGCGTCATCAATCACCACTGCAAAGTGGCTGAAAAGTTTATAGTAAGAATGCATTACTAAAAATGAATTATTCATATTTTTCCAGCCGAAGACAGATTATCAACCACAAAATCCAATAATGCATCCATTGCAAACTAATCAACCAGAATCGAGTGTAAGCTTTACATATAATTTCTGTATACGCATTTGTATGGATGCATTTATGATTTATACTTTGACATATTTTTTTTAGCCATTACCTCAAGACAATTTCTATCAAGAACCTCCCCTTTATAATTCGCAATTCAGGCAAGGTGTGTCGAATACGGTACCATTTAACAAACCAATTGAACCGTTACAACCTGCAATGCCTGCGAGGGTGGCGGAACCTGAGAAACCTAAAGCACCTATACCCGAGCAACATATTCATTTAAAAACAATATTAGATGAATTAAAAAATCAATGCTATGAAACTGCGAAGAATCCGGTAAATACTTGATTTTAAAAATATTATATATGTAACAATATTTACATAATACATTATTTTATATATATAATTTTTTTTTTACTGTTTAAGACATTTGTATTCGTATTTTCTTTCTAGCAAATCAAAAGGAAGATAGAAGATGTGTCAAAGAAATTGGAAATGTTATACGATTGCCTTAGAGAGAATAAGGTAAGTCAGTTGTAACGTTATTGTACATTGTGTGCATCTGAAACAAATTATCTTTTTTCAGTTATCTCAGAATACCTTGCAAGGCTTACATCAGATATCACAGATGATTCAAAATGGCAATTATACAGGCGGATTAGACTTACATACGCAATTAGTGTCAGGACCAGATTTTAGTCAAATAGCTTCCTTTATGCCTGGAATTAAAGTATTACTTCTAAGTGCCCTTCAATTGAGCGTTTACATTAGATAGAATGCCCAAAAATCTAAATTGTTCATATATTCATTATGAATTTTTATAATTCTAAACAGCCTTAACAAGAGAATTATTTGTTATATTAACTTTGTATAATAATCTCGATAGTGAGTAATTAATAATGTAGCATATAATTATACCCATAATCAATTACACATTATTTGTTAATCAAATTTCATAAACCCTGCTTTGAAAATTATATTTTATCAATTATCAATTATAAGAGTAATTTTACATTATTTTTTTAGTTATTAATCTTATTATTAAAGATATATATTTGTAAGAAATTAAGATATTTACAGAAGACGTCCATATAAAAAGATTTAAAGGCAAAATGTTAAGACTTTTGGATACTCGCCGCTTCTATTTTTGTTTGATGACAACAGAAATGACGAGTACCCGGGAGCCTTAAGAAAAATCTTGTTTTAATCATATGTATATATAATTATAATATTAAAATCTATTATATGAGAAAATTGAATATTTGTTTTTTTATAAATCTTGAAAATTGTGGTCTTTGTGTTCAATATATATATTTAACATGTAAAATGGGATTTTGCAATAAATAAAAATAAACGTTCTTTAATTGTACAAACTTGTATATTATACTTTATAAAATCTGTATAAATAATTTATAAAGTATCACGTGATTATATTGAGTTAAATCAAATCTCAGGAACAAACTATGTTACGGGCGTTGGAAACTGTTTCAAAAAGTTTGATGTAAAAATATTGTTGTGTATAGTAAGACTCAAAATTTATTGGATGATTAAGCTATGTAGAATGGCGCCTTGCTCGTTAATGATAAATTTTTGTAACAATTCATCTAAAGGGTCGATACCATCCCGTGCGGCTTGTCGACGCATGGCTTGTTTTAATTCCTCGCGTACTCCTTTATCTGCACCGCGGGTTGTAATGCGGCGATCTAGAATAATTCTCATATACTACGTTTACGCGAGCGTTACTTTCGTAGTAACTTACGATAATTCCTTCGCGTAAACGGGATTTTGTAGTAACTTGTGATAATTTACTCCGCGTAAACGTGTGATATATCGTAAGTTACTACAGAAGTAACGCTTGCGTAAACGTAGTAATATACTCTTTTATTTCTATAGGTAAAGTATTATATTAAAGAAAGTTATATGTACTTTGAATAATCCCTGTTCCTGATGTTATGTCCAGCGATACCCCTCCGCCATGTTCAGTCCATAAATACGTTAATTCTTCCAAAATATCTACACATATTATATACCCTTGGAACAATGGATAAGAAAAATTTCCACGATTGAGAATTCGTTCTGTCACTGTAGTTAAAGTACTAGCTTCTTGTGGCCAATCTATCTGCATAAGGACCAATGCATGTCCAATAGCCAAGTCTCCAATATTTCCGGGCAAAGAAAAATTTTCCTGAAGCCAAATCAATCATATATTTACCAATATTATAGGATATTATGACCAAAAAAAAAAGAATGATTACCTTTATAGCTAAAAGAAGCAATCTGCAACAATATTGTAGAATAGGGAAACGGGCGAGAGTCAAATAATGTAAATGTCTCATGCTTGGAACTGTCAGATTGTGAGATACTTTGCCTGATGCAGTGGGTAACGAGTTTACAACCAGAATAATATAATCCAACATACTCTAGAAGAAAGATTATTTAATAGCTTCGGAAAAGAAAGATTGAAAATACTAGGGGACACCCTATATAATTGATTAAGGTTCAATGAAAATATAATCACAGCGCACCTTATAATCTTTCAAGAAGAAACATGTACTGGCTGAACGAAGATTAGAGGCTAAATTACCCCCTTCTGTTAATCTGGCCAATACTTCATGATGTAAACCTTTATACACTGCTAAATCCGTTAAGAAAAGATTCAGCCAATTATCTAGCCGTAATTGTTGATTCAATTTGGTTATCTCTCTTTGAAGATAGTCACTACTGTGTAACAAGTCCCATAATTTTACTGCCACTGCTAGGCCACTGCCATTGTAATCGCTGTCACTGGTTATTATTACGCCAGCATTATCATCTCGCTTTCGCTTTTTCAATTTGGATTCTGGTTCATGAAATTTAAGATATATAAGTATAAAATTTAATTATCCAAATAATCATAAACATAATATTTTACCTGCCGAGGAATATACTCCTTCCCCAAACGCTTCTACAAGACAATACGTTGTCTCTTCATTAGAAATAAGACCGTTATGCTCGTTCAGTATTCTTAATAATACTACAATTGTACACATCAATAATTGCCTGACAATAGGCTCGTCGCACAGACCAGTGCTATGTGCAATCGCATACTGTTGCAGTCTATCGCTGTATGTTTCGCGATTCCAAGGCATAGCAAATAAACTGCTCAATTCCCATCCTAATTTCTTGCCTATTAGCTCCACGATTTGGAAAAGTCTGTCCCATGGATTTTGAATTTGCGTGTCTTGTGGTTGCTGTATGTACGCTAAATAAAATTCTACAGCCTTACATAACAATCGTAAACTGAGACGAGCATTCAATTCTACTACAGCACCACCAAGCAGTGGCAATGCGTCGCATGCCAATAATCTTCTGAAACCATTCACAGCTCGGCCTGGATGACTGTGTTTCTCCGCAGTTAACAGAGTTTCCACCAAACGTGGCTAAAACAATAACGCAAATAAGTATCGCCTAAAAATCAAAGTATCCTCTCATTCATAATTCAAGATACATACTCCATGAGTCGCTATGGTTTGAGGAAACTTGCGCAGTAGTAATAGCAATAATTTGCAATGTTCCATCGTGTCTTCGCTATGATCCGCTGTCATTACGAGCAGCCTATGTTGTAGATCCTGCGGGATATGTTGAAACATCTGGCACAAAAATTCAGCCTCGCTGTCGCACTGTTCTAAGCGAAGACACGTCGTTATCGTTTCTATCTCTTTCCATATATCGCGATCGTCCGGAAAATTTTGGAATCTGTGCTTACGTTTAAGAAAAGATTAAAAGAAAGTCTTATATGTACATAAATTTCAATAGTGATCGATACTCACATCTCGCTGAAGCATTTCGCTGCCTCTTTCACATTTTTTGACAATTTCTCGATACGATATGCCTCAAACTGAAAGCAGAAAAGATTGAAATCAGTACCTATATGATCATTACAGAGACAAACCTTGATTCAAATCCAGTTATTGAAAATTATGACAATACTCTTCGGAAATTACTTCGTATAAAAAAAAGTAAAGGAAAAAAATATAAAGTAAACATATAAAATAAAGAAGCAAAGATCAAGTATATGTACAATGACGAGCCGGTACTAACCTGAACTTTCGCGCTATGCGGAAATAATGATTTTGCGGTAATTAGCCAAGATTTAGCGGCATAAATATCGCTCGGTAGTGCCTGCTTAGCTCTCATTATTAAATAATCTTCTTTGGATAACTGATTGTCCGTACTGGACGATACTGATTTTTCCAACATAATGCAATATGTATTGTATCTTTGACGTGCAATGTGCATACAGCTGGCATATCACACAGCTGTGTTTTTTCGCGTTCTCTGTTATTCTCTGCGTGCTGTGAGTGCGTGTCACTGCGTCAACGATGGCAGTAATGATTTATCAGCGAACGCTTGATTACGAAATGCCGAGCGAGCGTACCTACTGTTGTTAATTCTTAAATCTCCTTTAAAAAAAATACATGTTTAGTGTCCTTATTAAAGATTGTTTGTCATTTTATCGATACTGACAAGGATTGAAGATTAGTTATGTTCGAAATTGTTAACTCTACAGCTAAATTACGTGCGTAACTTGTGAAAACATATTCTCGGTGCACGATAACGCTACCTCGGCAGGCACACGTTATATTCCCAGGAAGATTTCCGTAGTCGGAAAAGCAGTATTCTGGGATATCGCCATTGCGTAACACGGCCAAGAAATCATTACATTCTTTTCTCTACAGAAATAAAATAACAGAAAAAAATGATCGTTTATTAATCGCCATCTATAAGAATATATCCTGTAAAATAATGTTTCTATATTAATATCATCCCTTATAGAAGTTTAATAGTGCGATTATTTGGCTAGTGATTATAATTACTTATTTTCAGCATTAAAAGCATTAAAAACAGTTCTTTTAATACTGAAAATAAGTAATTAATCACTAGCCAAATAATTACAGTAATTATATCTTTTATATATGTCACACTGTATAGTTAACAAATAAATATAACTAAAATCTAATCTAATCTAGTTTAAAACTATTTTTTATTTTTGTAGGATTATTTGCAAAAATATATACAGTTTAAAGAAATTAATCAATTTACCAAAATCAATCATCAATTTATATTAATTCACATTGATTATCTATGAAAAAGATTCGTGTAAACATAATTTATATTATAGGTGTAATCTTGAAATTTACCGCACAACTCTGCGATAAAGTGTCAATTACCGGAGTGTCATTACTCGCCAGGCGATCCGCGTCAATCTGACGGCTCAGAGACCAACGACAATTTTTCTTGAGATTTTCCAGTCGGGATCGGCGCGACCGGCAACAAAGGCGTAATTTTGCAAATCCTCTGAGCGATATGGAACGTCCGCGCTGGCGCGCGCGCGGACGGGAGCCCCCGAGTAGTTCCATTTATAAAGATATAACAGCGGCCAAATCCGCTTACTCCGCGATTCCGCTATGAACCACCCACGGTGGGCGAAAAGCTCCCTTAAGTGGTTATGGCGCTTTGGCTTTGTATCCGACGGCTTTCCGACGGCTCGGCTTAAGTACCGGAAATAAAGCCCCATCGGCCGCGGCCCGGCGCTCGATTTATGCGCGAGAATGGAGAACCGAGATCGAGCTCTCCTCCTCGCGCTGGGAGTCTGCGAGGGCCACGGTGATCCATCATATCGATCGTCCATCGAGGCCGGCCCCTGACGATGTTTCGCATGGTCGCGCGCTACTCCTTGGCGTAGAATTTTTAGAACGGGACGGCCCTTCGAACGAAACGCAAAACTTTTCGGGCGACTCTTACTTTACAGTTTGCACTGATTGCGAGAAAGAAAATAGTTCTGGCTATTAACTGTAATGTAACAATTCCGAAATATTATTTTTAAGTAGCCCCACAAATAGTTTTATAAAATCATAAGAGAATGAAAGTAGTACTGAGAACTATCAAGATATCACGGCAATAAATGTAACGTGACTTAATGTTTGAGTTTGTATTATAATTATGGTAAGAAATTATTAATAGAATTATGTTGATGTAGCTTGTTAGCATTCTATTAATTATATAGATAAACTATTAAATGAAATAATAACATAACGTAAAGTTATATAGACTCAATATAATAGATGCATGCCGATGTATCTGCAAGATATATATAACCGCGCGTATTATCATTCTTTTAAATATGATCGTAGAATTTTTTCACGTAAATCGAAATTGTAGTCAATCATATGAAGAAAAAAAATTTGTTTAATTATTTGAATACATTTACTTAATGACGAGAACAATAATGAGAAAAAATTCAATGGTTCGAATATGTTGATTTAATAATGAAAAGAAAAAGAAATATGAGCAGTTTTGTAAAATAATTTCGCAATTGCACCCTTCCTCTTAATCATCAGCGATTAAAACTTATAACAAACGATATTATCCCAGTAATAAACAAACTGCCTGCAATATATGACTACAGGCTGATAGCAGATATTTGTTCAGATATCGCAACGGATCCGGTATCATCTCTGTCTGCATTAAACTCGTGCTTTGTGCTGGAAGAATGTGCCCGTCATAATCTGACAGCAGATTGTCGGCAAAAATTCAACAGAATTTTTCATTTCATAAACATTATTCCTACATAGCCCGGCCCAAATATGTCAAGAATAGACTTTGAAAATATCTGCCGCAAATGTTGCCGATAGAATGCCAGCAGAAATATAACAACTCAAATTTTGCTAAAAGAATGTAATGGCAGTTTGATCGTAGAAAGTGAACAAAATCTACCATTAAAAATTTTAATGCTGTATTTTATTTAAATGTTTAACGAATGAACAGATTTTGCTCGGTTTTTGCCAACAATCTGCTGTCAGATTACATCGGGAGGCTCTATCGGCAAAACACGAGTTTAATGCGGACACAGGATACCGGATACCGGAACCGTTGCGATATCAGAACAAATATCTGCTATCATCCTGTAGTCATATATTGCAAAAATTAAAAAATACAGTTTTTGTAAAAAAAAAAATGGTAGTCAACGTTACCAGTTCAGCCAGCCCTGGTGCTGCAAGCACCTAAACCTAAACCATTACCTGACTTTTTAAATTATTACGTGATCGAGTATATTAGTTAGTATGTTAACCGTCGGGTAAAACCACCGACTTACTATTAAAATTGAGATCCTGGAAAGCTGAATTTACGTCGGGTAAAACCACCGACTTACCATTATTACTACTATAATAATATTAATTGAACACAATAATGGTGAATATAACTAGTGGAAATGGAACAAGGAAACTGCTTTTTCACTCGATTTTTGTATGTATAGAGTATAGTATTGCAATTGAGGATGATCGAGATTACAATACAATTATGATCAATACACAATATGGTCGGACCGACACAGAATTGTTACCAATATCTATGTCCAATTGTGATCGATACGTAATCGATTCAACAACGGTTGTCCTCAATGCTATGTTTGATTTCTTTTGAATATTATCACCGGATTTTATTTGTTTCACATAATGCATATTAATGCAGTAAAAACCGAATGAAGAAACAATTTCCTAATTATATAATGATGAATTATATGATTTTATTAGTCTTATAAGATACAGGTAAAGGTAAAGGTAAAGATGACACTTTTCTGACTAGTATCAGATTACCAGATCCTTAGAAACAATATTCACAGTCCGAGCGTATACTCAAGACCGTCCGAATGTCTGGACAGTCTTAAGACTACCATCCCCAGCAAGTAAAATGACCATACAACATTTCGAGTGTATGACGAGAACGATCTTGAGTACAAGATCGGATCATGAGTTCTGCCTTATAGGATCCAAAGTATCCATCTATGCCTCATCCTTATATAAGAATCATTACAAAACAACTGCTATCGAGAATTAAGGAAACTTTTTGTAAATTTTATTTTTCCGAAATGGAGCTAATAGTAAAATTAAACTAAATAATAAAACTTAGTTAATATTAAAGATATAAAGTTATCCAATTATTTGCAAGATTTTCGACTAAAATATTAGAAATTCTAATATAAATGTATAACATAAATTTTGCAAACAACTTAAATAATCGCAAAGATACAAGGTGAAAGGCACCAAGCGGCCGATAATTAAACTAAAGTGTGTGACTCTTCATAAGTTTGTATAACAATCTGATATCGCAACAGAGCAACAGATCTGGTATATTATAATGAATATAATGATATAATCTGTGTCCACATTAAGTTTTTTACACAGGTACAAGTTTTTGCGAGGCAATAGCGATAGCGATAGCGACAAAATTTTCAACCTATCGGAAGCCATGCATCAATGGCGTAGCTTTGTCGGCAATTTTATCGCTACCCAGGTAGCACATACACGTTTCAGAAATGTTTTATAAGCGTTTTTTCGAAACGTTTTATAACCGATTTCTAGAAACGTTTCTCATGAGTAAATATGTCCATTCGAAAAACGTTCAATGGAACGTTTCTTTTCCAATAAAATTTATTGGAAAATATATAGTTTAAATATAGTTAAATATATAGTTTAAAAACCTCTTATTATAAAAACGTTTTGTTTTAATAATAAAGACTTTTTCTCCCGACTGCTCCCTCACAACCTTCGGTTGGCGAAGACGAGGGAGTATGCGTTTCACCGGGCCGAACCTTTGTTACCTTAGTTCTCGATAACTACAACATACTTTGATATGTGCTTCCGTATATAAGTTTCTTATTGATCAAGCAAGGTTTATAGCGTATAATTATCATTAATCGTTGTGTTAAATAAAAAGAAAAAGCGAAAAAACAATATATTACATTTATATGTTCTCTTTATTGGCTATCGACTAAGTTACAAAGGAAATTGATTAACCAATGACATGCATCCGCATGGGGAATTTTAGTGATTTCTAGTTGCCTCTATGTTGGGCTCCGGCAGAACGTACAGCTTTTGTATTCATCGCTGCACGCTTATTGGATATCGCGCGTCATGTACGACGTTATCGCGCGCGCTAGCTGCTCTATTGGTCACCTGTCCATATTTGGCCGATAGTTAGGGCATAGTATAACTAGTCACATAGTATACTGTCACTTAACCCTTTTTTGTAGTTTGCGCATCGCCATTTTCGATGGTGCCACCAATCAGAGGATTTTTGTATATGTGGTAATGCAAAGTCGGTGTGATACCACAGCGCTCAAATTTTCGGTGAAATATAGTGGGTATTCTTACGTTTAGCAATCGGATTAATCACAAACATATCAACCGATTAGTATCGTAAAAATTAAAAATTCGTTAATCAGTGCAAATCAGTGTGTCGCCAAAATGAATAAAAGAAAAGTTATAAAATTTGCAGTGTTCGAGACTGTCAAACTACGAACAAAAACTCAAATTGTCATTTCTTTACTTTCC